GCTGGGAGGCGGCTGTGCTCCTCAGGTGGAATTCCAGGGCCCTGAGCTCACCGCAGCTCACCGGCTGGAGCAGCCGCATTCCAGCAGGAGCCAGCCCGGCCCAGCTGGGTCCCCTTCCCCACAGTCCTCCCTCCTCCGGGCCCCTGGGGTGTATCCAGCAGCACTGCCTCAGCCAGGCGCAGGGCAGGGGCTCGGGTGCAGACTGGGGTCCCTGTCTCCGCCTCCTGAGTGGGATGATGGTCGGTGCACGGGGAGCCCAGGTTCCTGGTTCCCTTTCACCTGCCTGGGGTCCTTTCCTTCCCGTGCCCATTTATTTCCCCAAATGGTGCCAGGTTTACAGAGGCCGGGGTGCACCTTCCACTCCTGGTCTCCAGCAAGCAGCCCCCGCTGGGAGCCTGCTCCAGAGCTGAGGTCCTGGCAGCAGCTGCAGCGCACGATCTCCTTTCCAAGCACCCAGCAGCACCCTCCCATCTCCCACTGAGTCCCTCTGCTCTGCCCTCACTCGTGACACAGCTACAGAGAGTCCTGAGCCTCACACACGTGTGCTGTCCCACTGAGCTACAGGCCTGCTCCGGTCCATCTTGAGGACTCCTAGTTATCCCTCAAAGCCCAACCTGAAGTTCCTTCTTAATTTCAGCAATCTTCAGAACCCTCCCAGGCAGAACCATTCCTCTCTCTTGCCTCTTTTCTGTACCTTCTGTATCACGTTTCTCCTTGGCTGTGCAATCCCCAGGTGTGGTTTTTGCTGCCCTTGTCTGACTCTTACGGGACAGAATGGCCCAAGAACATGACCCATGGGGTCCTTTGCAAAGAAATGATGCAAAGCTGCAACGATTCGGCCACCCACAGATTTCGACACACAGCTTCTGATTCCTCTCTCCCTCCCGGCTGAGGGTCCTGGGACTCGAGAACCCGCCCGCCAGGATGTGAGGGCCCTGGGCCGCCCAGTCTGAGTTCCTGGCCACCAGAGGAGGCGACAGGGCCAGCATTGCCCTATCCCACAGACGAAGGCTGCTGCCTCCTGCCCTGAGCTTGTGTGGCTTCACTGTGGGCCTCACGTCCCAGCACAGGTGCAGGCCCCGAAGACACCAGCAGTGTTTCTCGTCCCTCCTGGGCTCTGCGCCCTCCGTGGAGTCCGCCCCGCTCCCCGCTTTCCCAGCGGGGGGAGCCCGAGCCTTGGCCTCCTCTCCTCCACAACACGGCTTGCTTCTCTCTGCGCCTGGCCCCTCCCAGGGTTCTGGTCCTGCAACCAGCAGCACCATCTGTGCCCAGGAGTCTACCGGCCGGCACCTGTGACCCAGAACAAGGCCAGGGCCACTGCCTGGTGGACGAAGGGCCCGAACCCACTGCAGCTGCTGCTGATTCTGCCCTTCCTGCCTGCCCGGGGTTGGCTGGGAATCACCACCCTGTCTCTCTGCTCAGCTGTGTGGCCACTGTCCTGGGTGCCCGAGGGCCAGCTCTGGGCCACATTCTCCCCTGGGTGCCCCTCTCCGTGGGCTTCCCTGCTTTCGCCTACCCCCCCACTGCTGGCCCAGGCCCCACTGTGTCCCTCCCAAGAATCTGTTCCTGTGACTTCTGCCTCTCCCTTGGTCTAGAACCATCCATAGCTCCCAGCTACTTCAAGGGCCTCAGCTACCCACCGGTCCGTATTCACAGTGCCTGCTATATGCCTGAGCTGGGGAGCAGCTGTGACAGACACACTGGGCATCTCTGTCCTTCATGAGGCTTCAGCCTGAGACGGGGAGCTTCCCAGACGCGGCTGGGAAGGAGTAGGAGGGGATGCTTCTCTGAATGGGGGCATCATGCCCGATAAGGGCCACAGGACAAGGTGGCCACAGGGACTTGGGGCAGGTCCTAAGGCTGCCACCCTGGCTGAGCAGGGGACCGCCATGCAGACCGCTCCCACCATGGTCACCCCGTAGGGCCCTCCAGGCCACTGGGCTGGGGCACACTTGCACCCCTCGCCTCCACCTTGCAAGCGCTGTCCACCGCCCCTCCACACCGACCTGGCGTCTGCCCCCCTTCTTGGCTTAACCCAACCTCACTCGTCTTGGGGCCACCTCCTCCAGAGCCCGCAGATCTTGGGGTCCTGGCCCCTGACCCCAACGGCTCCCAGGTCAGCTCTGCACACGAGAGACTGAACCTCAGGCACAAGCCTCACGCCTGCGCCGGAGACGCAAAGGAAAACAACGCTGAGATCCCATCTCAGTCCAGAGAGAATGGCCACCAGCAAGAAACCAAGCAGTAACAAGTGCTGGGGAAGCGGCGGCATAGAGGAGACTCCTACACGGTCGGCAGGAATGCAAACCTGGACAGTCGCTACGCTCCGGACATCAGCCTGAGATTCCTCAAAAAACCGGAACTAGAAATTCCCTTCGACCCAGCTACCCCTCATCTAGTAATCGTCCTGAAGGAGTTAGAGCCATCAGAGTATGGTGACCCAGGCCACCACCCGTGCTGATAGTAACACGATTCACAGTGGCCGATAGCCATGTATACAGCAGCACAATTCACAATGGCATGTAGGAAACAGCCTATCTTCCATCACAGACGTGTGGATAAGAAAATGCGGCTTTCACACACAATGGAGTACTACTCTGCCAGCAAGAAAAACAAGCATCATCGGTAGAAAAGGGATGCAGCTCGAGACCGTACCAATGTTATGTAAGGCAAATCGGACACACACGCTGAAATACTGCACGGTTTCTCTTCCCTGAGAAGCACCAAGTGAAAATGCGGAGCGAGATAAAAGACAGGAAGATCTTTTTCAAAGAAGAAGGGGATCAAGAATGGAAGGAGGGGGCGGGACGGAGGGCGGGAGGGATGAAAACACAAGTAAATTAAAGAGAAAAATGGGACCAGAGCTTATGCAAATGGGAAGGAGACGCAGAGCTGGAGGGAACAGGGAGGAGACGGGAGGGGAAGGGGATGAAAAAGGCATCAAGATGTGCGATGCCACGTGCCAACTCCTCACGGTGAATGTAATCATTACACACGCAAGCATGAAAAATAGAGAACACAGAAGAAAAAGCCGCATGCTTGGCAGGGCCAGCAGAGCCCGGTTCCTCCCCCCGGGGACCCTCGCTGCGGCCCAGCGGGCAGCTGGATGAGGACCGGGGTGCGGGAGGGACCCCTTTCCCCTCTGTCTGTGACCTGTGACCTGCGGGCTCTGGCCCCGAGGTGAGGAAGGAACTGCGGGAGTCCGCCTGCCATGCGGTCTCAGCCTGGGCAGGAGTGCCCACCGCGGGCCCAGACAGGCAGGGCCTCAGGGGATTACCCAGGGGTGAGCGGCGCTGTGTGACTCAGCGGGGCTGCGGGAGGGAGGCTCTGACACACAGGATGTGGCCTCGGGCCCAGAGGAGGCACTGGGCCTTCTCCCACGGAGGTGTGCAGCTCCTCGCCACCGTCAGGGCCGGAGAGACCCCTCCTGCCAGTGCCCGAGTGCCCAGACGAGCTCTGAGGTATGGGGAGGAGAGGGGGTGGCCTGGCCACCAAGCCACGCTATGACCGCCACGCCGTGACCGCCACGCCCTGGCCCTGTGCGTGTGCATCGAGGTCACATGTGCCACAGCAGGACACACTGGTTATTAGCTGTAGGACCTGCAGGGTCCTTAACTGCTGATCTCCTCACCTGTCCAGCTGCCTCCTGGAGACACCATGAGGACTCCATGAGTTAGAAGAGGTCTGGCTCTGCCAAGACAAGACCCTGCCACTTTGCTACTCATCACCAAGCCCGGACGGAAGGGACAGCCCTGCTCAGCCAGTGATGCGTATGCCTGACCCAAAGACCCTCGGGGTCTTTGGCTTTGGCTTTTCTTGTCTTCCAATAGTTAGCGATGACAACGCTATTTCAAAGCACGGTGACCGCATAGAGATTGGAGACGGAAACGGCAGTCATCAGAGGGCTGGAGACCAGGTGTGGGGCCGAGCGTGGGCCGTGCTCCTGATTCAGCCTGGCCCCACATTTGCCGCTGCCTGTTTGCGGCTCTTCACGGTGGCCCTGCCCGCTGGCCCTGTCACTGCGGTGCCCCGTCCCCCACCCCAGGCCAGCCCTGGGCCCTCCTCCCTCTTCATGCTGGCTCACAGCGCTTCTTGGAGACCAAATCCCCTCCCAACCCTCCCAGACCCAGGGTTAGCTCTGAGAATCTCGTCCTTCACAGGCCTGGCCAGAACCCACAGCCAACCCCAGGTCAAACCACAGTGCTGAAGTGGCCACCCCAAGATGTCTGGCCAACTGCAGATGCTTGAATACTTCCTGGGATGGGGAGCTCGCTTCCGTATTGGTAACTCGATCCATTTCTCAGTGACTATGGCCGGTCCTCACTTCCACAGGCCCTGCCTCCCCGAGAGATCCCCTGCCGTGTTCTCTGGGTTTGCGGACCCCTCTGCTCCTCCGGCCCTTGGACAGCCACTCTCATGACATGAAGTGTCATTCTCCATCTGTCCCAGCCACCTCCTCTGGGAACATCCCAAAGCATTCCTGACTCTCAAGTCCAAGAGGATGTGAAGGCGCAGTAAAGAGGGAACGTTCACCTTCTTCATGGTGAGCTTTAGGTCTTGCTTAAGGAGACCAAGGACTAGTCAGCTGCGATGGCAGCCAAGCCCTGGGAAGCCTCCTCCTGACTCAGCCTGCGCCGCACAGCCGACTCTGGACCGAGACAAGGGTCACACCTACTCTGCACCCGCCTCGTTTTAACCGAAATTCAGTCTCTCTAGTCAACAA